TAGGGATCAATAAAAACAAAGCAGGAAGGTAATAGTACATCTATCCTGCTATCAAAACAAAATTTACCATGGTAGGCCGAATTTATTGTCAAATTGTTTTGAACACATAAACGTGATTTAAACATCCTATTTACAGGCTTTCCACCTAGTTTAGGATAAGTCCTGAACACGCTTTATGATAAGGTTTAAAAACCGTATAAACATCGACTTCATGTCCTGTATCTAAAATAGGTTTAGCAATGGAAGAGCTAGGTCGTATATTTTCACTATATAGAGGCTGAAATGATTCCATGTTTCTGAAAATCTAAACTGCAGAGGCTGATAAAGCCTCCCAATTTAAATGTGTGAAATATACACTATTCTTAGATGTAATTTGGAGAATGAATTTTGGCACCCTAGCCGCTTAATATCTCCTTATAAACTTCTTTGGGTAATTATTTTAATCCACAGTTACTGTCAGAATTCTTTCTTCACCTTCAAATCTGTCTTCTGTGAATGTTTGTTGCATCCTACTAAAAAGGCGCCACATCAGACCTCCTTCGCACAGAACAAGAGAGAAGTTGAAGCAATTAAGATACATTCCTGTCCAAATAAGTTTTCGGCAAATAGATGCTTGTATGTTCCACTCGGTTATCGACTGAGAAAAATATCTGAGGATGATAAACAATTGTCTTTCTCTCCCAAAGATTTAAGTCAGATCTTATTTTACACTTCATTTATTCGATCTAAAATTGAAGTGACAGAAATACGATTAAGTAAGAGCTTCAGAGCATAACTTTAAGTGAGTTCAGAAGCAAATGAAAGCCCCCCTCCCCAGCAACTTGTTAATGGTGAGAACAGACGACCTAGCTCTTCCATCGAAAAACTTATTATAGATACACGGCATAAGGTTAATGTTCATGAGCCTTTTAAGCTTACTATAAAATGTGTGTGAGGTGTATCTCAGAGTTCCTCGAAGCCTTAGCAATTAAGAAGTTTAAACCAAAACAAATCATCAAGTGAAACCAAAACACGTAGATCAGCTAAGAGTCTCTTTTCGGCGTCGAATTCATTTTCTTAGCTGTACAGTCACGAATATATATGTGTTATTTTGTATGTATGCGTACATCAAGTTTGTCAAACAAAATTACAATTGGTTATAGTTATTTTAATTAAACAGGTGAAGATTGGTAATTGGAGTTACATAATACAAAATCAGTCAAGAAAATTAGGTGTTAATGAAATTAGGATAGTAACAAAGGTGATGAGTTGTCATAAACAGTTGTTAAAAAAGAAGTTAAAGAAGACGAGACCGTATTGCCTTGGTAGGTTATTCTTGACTCTGTAGATTACTTTGAAGGGGGCGTTTGGTGAGATGGAATGATCAGTGTTAACCAGGTGTTCAATTATCACACTCCTCCGAATAACCTACCAAAGGCAATACGGTTTCGTCTTCTTTGTAAAGCTTTGAAGTTCTATGTTCCGAAAGTTGTTTCGAGGAAGAAATGGAAAGGTTGAAGAGGACGTTGCAGTTATTTGGTTATCTAAGCGACTGTATGAATTATGAAACGAATTAATATCTGAAAGCCTGATCTCCACTTTCCCATTCAAACCAGTGCTCACACTAAAGCACGTATAAACTACCAAGCATCACTTCTTCAGAGTGTATTTATCATTTCATTTGTTTCTATGGGGGTAACTGCATAGGCTGTACTTACAGGTCTGTATTGAAAGTTAAAATAACAATGAAGATCAATGAACCAACCAACGGAGAGATAACAGTACGTCTATCCAGTTATCAAAACAATATTTACCGTAGAAAGTTTAACTTGATAACAAATTGATTTAATTGCTTATAAATCTTGTATTCATTTAGAACTGTTACGTAATTTCGTATTATCTACTTTGTTTCTATGTGCATCCTGAGTAGGACTCACTCATCAAACTATTCATATTATAAACTTGAACAAAGCAAGAACAACAATTGTACCAGGATAATATGAGCTGATCTTTTATTATTTGGAGGGTTCTTCTCAACTGGTTACAACCTGAATGTTAAAAAATATGAATTACATTAAAGATATGAACATACTTTTCCACGATCATAAGGAATAATTCGTATTATTATTACATAACTTCTTTAAACAACGGTTTATGACAACACACCACCTTTGTTACTACCATAATTTCATAAAAATAAACCAATTTTCTTGACTGATTTTGTATTATGTAACTCCAATTACCAATCTTCACCTGTTTAGTTAAAATAACTATAACCAATTGTAATTTTGTTTGACAAACTTGATGTACGCATACATACAAAATAACACATATATATTCGTGACTGTACAGCTAAGAAAATGAATTCGCCGCCGAAAAGAGACTCTTAGCTGAACTACGTGTTTTGTTTTCATTAATGCCTGGATGGGAATTATTCATGAATTGAAAATCATCAAGTGTTGGTTTACGGGAAATTGATTAGTTAGAGGTTTGATCACCAGCTGACATCATTTACAGAACCATTGGAAAACCTGGAAGTACTGCACAGCTATTTCGTCCTAGTTTGGACTTTTCAGCATTACCCATCCATTGGATAGAGTTCCAGTGGCTGAATGGTATACGAACTCGCCTAGTAACGAGGAGGTCCTAGATTTAAATCCCGGTGGGTGAATACTGTCGAAGAGCTCCAAACTACGATGAAGCATCTGTCCATTACTCTCAGGTTTTCTAGTGGTCCTCTAATCGATATCAGCTTCTGATCATCTCTGTAGCCAAAATAAATCAATTTGTTATCAAGTTAAACTTTCTACGGTAAATATTGTTTTGATAACTGGATAGACGTACTGTTATCTCTCCGTTGGTTGGTTCATTGATCTTCATTGTTATTTTAACTTTCAATACAGACCTGTAAGTACAGCCTATGCAGTTACCCCCATAGAAACAAATGAAATGATAAATACACTCTGAAGAAGTGATGCTTGGTAGTTTATACGTGCTTTAGTGTGAGCACTGGTTTGAATGGGAAAGTGGAGATCAGGCTTTCAGATATTAATTCGTTTCATAATTCATACAGTCGCTTAGATAACCAAATAACTGCAACGTCCTCTTCAACCTTTCCATTTCTTCCTCGAAACAACTTTCGGAACATAGAACTTCAAAGCTTTACAAAGAAGACGAAACCGTATTGCCTTTGGTAGGTTATTCGGAGGAGTGTGATAATTGAACACCTGGTTAACACTGATCATTCCATCTCACCAAACGCCCCCTTCAAAGTAATCTACAGAGTCAAGAATAACCTACCAAGGCAATACGGTCTCGTCTTCTTTAACTTCTTTTTTAACAACTGTTTATGACAACTCATCACCTTTGTTACTATCCTAATTTCATTAACACCTAATTTTCTTGACTGATTTTGTATTATGTAACTCCAATTACCAATCTTCACCTGTTTAGTTAAAATAACTATAACCAATTGTAATTTTGTTTGACAAACTTGATGTACGCATACATACAAAATAACACATATATATTCGTGACTGTACAGCTAAGAAATGAATTCGCCGCCGAAAAGAGACTCTTAGCTGAACTGCGTGTTTTGTTTTCATCAATGCCTGGCTGGGGATTATCCATGAATAAAATATTATACCAATCAGAACAATTTATTATTCGCTGACCTAACCAATTTTTAATGTGGCTAGAAATCTATGCATATTGTAACGGCAGAAAACGAGAGACTTGTGAAAGAAATGTTTATTTGGAATTTGGTATCTCTACGTAGCGAAATTATGTACACCTTATCTGCAAACCGTCATTTGCGCAGACCTTCTGTGTTCTGTTACTTCTCGCCTTCCTTCATATTGTGTTTCTTTGTCTTATTTTCGTGTCACCCATATTTTGCCACCATGTTGAATCATTTGCTCTTTCTGACAAGAGATTTATCTCTCCACTTTTTGATGTTTTTCGCCGATGAACGTCCTTTACATACTACTGAAAAATCTTATCAGTAGCACTCGCCACAATATGGTGCATTTTTTGCTGAAGAAAAATTTGTTACTAATTCTCTTACCTTTTGCCATCACACAAATGCAAGTTTCATTTAGTGCGCAGGGGTACCTTAATGACGAACACCAATGGGCACTAAAATCTCTCCTAACATTTGCCATGGTAAATCATTATTTCAATGCTCTTTCTCAGAGGTTAATTGCGTAGCTGGAAGAACATTTCAATGGTTCTCGAACTGATATCAATCCGTGATCAACTCGTGAAAACAAAACTAATCCTTAAAAACCAATTATCGAAAATTAATCTGATGCACGCTAGTGACTTGCTACAGGATGGAGTTTCTTGCAGTTCTAGTGAGAAGTCGTGACTAGTAAGGTCCATCCAGATATCACACGTGTGTGGATGGATGTCCCACCTACGACAATGGTTAGGGTCACGCTAAATCACGAATTGGTAGAAGTTAGAATTCATGCACTGGCCATTGAATCGAGTCCCAGTGGCTGAATGGTATACGAAGTTGCCTTGTAACCGGAAGGTCCTGGGTTCGAACTCCACTGTGGTGGGTGCGTACTGTCGATGACTTCAAACTAGGATGAAACAGTTGTCCAGTAGTCCGTGGTTTTCAATAGTTCTCTAACTGATATCAATCCGTAATCAACTCGTAGAAAATATTTCCAAGAGATCGTACTACAGTTGCAGTCTTTGACAAAAACCATAAGTGGTATATAAGTACGAAATACAATAATAATAATAATAATAATAATAATAATGTAAGTTATCAAATATACCTCTAACTGGAATATTTTCAATATTTTGGCTTGAATTCTTCATATTCTGAATGACTAATGGGGAACCACTAAAGGGTATTTACATAGAAAAATCTAGAAACGAAAAACTGACAGTCTTAGTCAGTGTTAATTCCTACATTATAACCAATGAACTAGTGCACAAATTAGTAAGTAAACTTATTCTTTGGATGGGACGACAACGACTTACACAAAAATAAACAAAGAACATACTTGAATTACTACACGAATTGAACTGCACAATCCTCCATCAGGACTAAGAGTGCACAAAGGTACCGGATACATACCACAACCTGAATTGGGCTGTTTCACAGAGAAGCCAAGACTTGAATACCAGGTTACAGGTCGTGTAGAATTTCCATGTAGTTTTAATGACATTCCAACAGCTGAACCATGATCTCCGTATAGGTGTCTGAATTCATCATGCAATGATGCATCACCAGAAGAAAATTTCCGTTTGGTTCGACTATTACCACCACCCGACGGGTTGGTTATAATTAATTCAGCATTCGCTGTAACAAGCTTGGAACCAACACGAATTTTTCCAGATTTAATAAGAGCGATTAACATTGGATCTGGATTCCATAATATTTGATACCAACCATCTGTCAAGCGAGCCTTGTATTTTAAAAACAATAGTATCGATGAATTTTTAAGTGACTGGAATTCGTATATAAAATGCAATTAAAGTAATCGCGTATAAAGAAAAAGTTTCACGATTTACAGTATTCTTAAAGGTGGCGAAGTCATTAACGCTTCCATCATCAACTGCACATACTGACGACACTAGTTGGATGAGATCTAGTCTCTTGGAGTGTCCCATCTTATCGTTGTCACAAGGTAGATTCCATCTTCTTGCCAAAAGGTGATATACATGAATGTATTGACCATAACCATATTGTAACGACAGAAGACAAAGACCAGGCAACAGATCGTTTATTGAGAAAATCAACAGTTATTTATAGATTTTTATGTGTATTATTAATAATGTTATTGTTAGCGGAGAAGCAACCTCTTTTGATTGGTCGTTTTCTTGCTCAAGGTTATTATGTTATCTCTTTGTGGCCGTTTCGCGGATAGTTAAGCCATATATCTGCGAATCATATTTCCACATGTCAACTCCGCTGTGACTGGTTGGTGATTTTCTCAAGGTTAAGCTTCGTTATTGTTTTTCTCGTGATCCTAATTCGGGACGTGAATATTGACGTAAATTGTTGTCTACAATTTTGGCTTGCAGTCAGCTCCCACGACAATATCATAAATTGTAAATGCTCAACTTAGAAACTTGGTTTTAGAAATTTTCTTTCTTTATTCCCATTTTTAGTAGGAGTGTCACATTTTTCCAGATATCCGGGACAGGTGTTGAATCACTTCTTCTATTACACATATTCTCAGTTGATTAGATAAATAAGACTTCAGACAACAATCTCTCCCTCAATAGTGTTACATTTGATTTTATAATTTCGGAAGCAGAAGCAGGTTATTTACAAAAACAGGAATAAAAGTGGCAGTCAAACTTTCAAACTGATTTAGAAACAAATAAAGTCGGATAAAGGATGCTGCAGAGCCCAAGAAATAAAATATCTTAGCTTATCTGACACTGCAATAATTGTGAGGTTTAGACACATACACCAAAATAGTAGGCCAGGGTCAATTTGATTAGCAGAACGCTAAAACCTAGTGGAATCGAGACTAGTAGACCTAGAAAAAACTCAGCTGTAGCATCATACACAACCATACAATAGGATGGAAAATATGACAGTCTTAAAATCGCCTGTGACAAGGTTGATGGAGAGATTTATACCTGAAGCTGAGAATGCATGTGGCAGGGAATGTTTCAACGCCTGTCCCAGACATCTCAGAAATTGTAACATTCCTACGAGAAGTGGAAAGGAAGAACAAGAATTTCAAAAGTCAATTTTTGAAGCTGCGTATTTACAACTAATGATATGATCATGAGTGATAAATTATGTTTGAAAAGTTATCCAGTTTTAATAATACTGTTTCCCTATAAAACACATACAATAAATAAATATGGAATTACGTGTAACCAGTGTACCCAAGTTTTATAAATATATTAATTTACCAATTCACTTGCTTCAGTGAGACGAGATATTATAGGTCGTTCACTATGAGTTTTATCCCACAGGGTCAGGGGACATTATCCCGCATGTCTATAACAAAGAGCCGATAATGGATTCACATACAGTGAAATCAGTGAGCATATTTCCAATACTGCCAACACAATCTCTGACAGAAATTCATCCAATGTTATGTAGAAAGTCAAAAGAAGCCTCCATCAAACGTTAAGTTTTTGTATACCTTGTATTACTGTGAAGCTTTAGACATTCATTTAGAAAACCTGGATTTATACAAACAGAAGAAACTTTTTCACAATTATTCCTCCTACTCCGAAAATTATCAATATCTTGTTGTTATTACTCTTTTTGTCCTATATTATAACTACTCATTTGTTTACCATGTTTCACTAGTTACATGATATTATCTCGGCACGAGTCTGAATGTACACACACACACACAAACAGTAGTTATGTAACAACAGAAGACAAGGGCCGGCAACAGATCGTCTTATTACGGAAATCAACACGTATTTATATACATTTCCTGTATATTACTATAGTTCATTTAAGTAGACAAACGCAGGCTTCTGATTGGTTGTTTCGGGTAACCTCGAAAAGTGAAGCCATCTATCTGCGAATCATATTTGCCCACGTTAAGTCTGCTGTGATTGGTTGTTGAACCAGCCTTGTTCATATTTTCCCACGGCCAATATTAGTGACCTATATATTGACGTAGATTAATGTCTACCAATTGGCTAGCAGCCTGCTCTCACCACAGTTATATATAATTGCTATAGTACAGCTCAGTGGATTAAAATCACCGAGAAGAGTCTCTTTGCTGGACAATTTCCTCATCTATACGCATCCACAAATCAAAAGAAAGTTACTGAACAAGATGTGTTACCGGAAACTATTTACTTATGTTGTTTGATTTCAACACGCTAAGATAACAATTTAAACTGGCTAAGTTGGTAAACTTCACAACTAGGGTTTCAGGGAATGTTACTTATTTCCCAACAATTGTTATTCTTAAAAGCCATATGTAGATTTACCCTCTTTGGTGAATGGTGACCAACGGTGGAATCCAGGATACGCATTTCGTCCTATTCTGGATGTACCTGAAATCCCAGTGATTCGTGGTGTTCCCCTGAGACTTGAACCCAGCACTCTTCGTTTTAAATACCAGAGTTATCCACTAAGACCACGAGAGCCACCTCTTGTGCAGCGGGGATAAGTCATTATTCTTTCTAGGATAACGTTTAACGTTGGAAACGAAAGATACTGGGTTCGAGTGTCAACGAGAACACCATCACTCGCTGGGGATTGCAGGTACATCGAGTTAACGAGTCCCAAATGGGACGAAATGTGCACCTTAGATTCTACTGCTAGGCACCATCCACCAAACAACATCAATGTTCAACACTCCGACATGGTAACAGAAGTCGAACATTTCGTTTCGATCAATCAACATTTAGCTAGTAGTTGACATCGATCAGATGAGCAAGTGTTGGTTCAAAAGCCAAAGTTTAAAACACACAATTATATGGAATAACTAAATATTTAATGCATATATGTATACTAACCTTTACACAGTTCTCCGAAATATCCAAATAACTGACAGTCAGTATTAAGCGTCGTGCTGCAGTATCATCTTGTTCGATAACTTTTCGAAGAGCTGACCTGGAAAAAGGTACGCAGACAAATTATATTTCATTAGATTTAAAGCCATTACGAGATTTTCATAAATTGACCTAGGGAAGATGTTAACAAGCTTTTAAAGTAAATTTCACAGACATATTTAACATGGACTATTAAGCATAAATTCAAAAGAGATTTCTTGAGCAAACTTTTCATATCCACTTAGGCATTATTGTCTTTAATGAAAGAATGAGAATGGAAGAGGGTGGAATCAACGTGTTATTTTTATTTTGACAGTAAACTATTTCACACAAAAATACTTGATTTATTCAGCTCCTCTTATCTGATACTATTGCTGCAGTATTGGTCTTTTTGACCTTCAGTTATTCATTCGGTTCACTATCTCTGCTTGATTTATGTTGTAAAAGTTTTAATGGGTTGACTATTAGTATAAGTATCCAGGATATTTTGTAGTGCTTCCATTCGAAAACCCTCACAATGATCTCGCGGTGTTGGTCAAACAGAAAATAATATAAAGTATTTTAGAAAGAAATGAAGAATGCATTCAACCTATTCACGTTTACAAGTAGTCTTTACTCAAAGTATTGAAATTAGGGTTAAAATCACTAAGAAATGTTGTTATTATTATGAAAGCACAAGCTTGTTGCATTATGGACACTAAGAGATACGCCACACAAAACCTTATAGTTTGTGCGAAGGCTCGGATACTGTCCGGACACCCAGACCGAAGCAGGTAGTTGTCTTAAAGAGTCACCGTCCAAGCTTTTGACATGAAGTATTATCCACAATGCAGTGGAGCAGCGTCGGGAGCTGCGTCCCCATGGTTGACAGTAACTAAAACAGATCCATTCGATCCGTCCGGATTCTGAAGCCCAACATAGATTTGAAATGAGGATTTTCCAGCTCCTCTGGTTAGATCAGCATGTCCACCAGTCTGGTTGTAGGTGTCACATGTTCAAATTCGCACTTTCACTCTTATAGGGAGCACCCTCGTCGCATTAAGGCAGTGAACAGGAATAGGACTCGGCTGGTAGAGGAAGGTTAAGTCTAATGCTCTCGTTTTCGAAACAACTTTTTCCCTTCATATTTGAAGTTTTATAAGGTAGTGTAATGTAGTAGCTATCGGTTCGGATGAGAACACTGAGTGTTTAAAATATGCTGACTACATCTATTTACCTGTCATTTCGATAATTTAATCTAATTTACACTAAGTGTCTTTTTCACTTGATTTTAGGAATCCCCTGTTAATGTTTCCCTAAGCGTTCATTTCGTTTTAGAAAAAAACTGGTCTAGGTAGAGTGGGGGCGGTTGTTCTTTTGTTGAAATCATCGGGTGAACCAGAAGTGAAGTCTGTTTAGGACGGTGGTATCGGCGGTAATCCTGAAACCGTGATAAAAAGTAACCAGCCTATACCGTGTACGGAGACGTATGGTTGTTTTAGCATTCATTGGCGCATCATGACTTTTTCGGTGGAGTGTCAGATACGTTTCATAATCGATACGAGTGACAATCTATCTTCAGCTTTCTTATTCCTTTAACTATCATAAGAAGAGTGAATAACAAACACCCGCATGAACCAGTTTATGAGAATGCCTATGCTGCAGTTAGTTGTTTGGGAAGTACACAGTTTGAGATAAGACTTTTCCACTTCTTTTCTGTTGAACCTAGTTAATCAGAACAGATTTTTCATCTATCGGACTATGCGCCAGTGGAAGGTAGGGTTTCAAGCTTGAGTTTTAAAGTTTTAATAGCAGTGGTATTATTCTTCTTTTACGGGAGTGAAGTTGCTAGCCTCACACCAAGCCTCCCCTTTTTCCAGGTTTACCGTAGATTAGGGAATCGACCCCAGACCACAAGCATGGTTGGAGTGCATTCTACCGCTGAACATATACATTATCAGGGCAGCATACATGCCTATAGCATTCAGCCTCCTACAAACCTTACACACAACCATTCGATCGTGTGACACCCGATATTTTAAGAAGTTATTTCCGGTGTGAACGTATAAAATAATAATAATAGTATGAAATGCAATTAAAACTAAAATGTTTGTGATTATAATCAGTTAAATGTCAAGTGGCAAAACAATTAATGTCATGTATAGAATAATTTATAGGATGGATAGAACTTAAAAAGGGTGAGTAATTATAGGATTAGTAGACAAATCGAATAAAATAAAAACGTTACGTGATAAAGTGTCAAATTTGATAGCTTATAATTTAACGTTGTAAAAAAAGAATTGATTTAGAACGACAAGTGGGACAAGTGAAATAATACCGGGGACAGTTCAAAGTGAAAGTAGTAATAGTAACAATTGACGTAATAAGGAAGAGAATACAAATTGAATAGACAAGATGAAAAATTGGTAGGACCAAAATATGATTGGGGATTACCATACCTCAGCATAGAGGGATTAAGACCATGAAAGTTGGAGGAGTTGAACAAACTTTTACTGTACACAGAGATCTGGCTTTTCTGTTTCGATGTCAAAAAGCTTCAGCAATACAGATGAGCCGCGTACGTAGGGATTTGGATAAATTACTCTTTGCTTTGTAGATGACTTTAAAGGCGGAGGCTATAAAAATAGGATGATCAGTATCGACCAGATGTCCAATGATCGCGCTTCTTATTGCTCCACTTCCACCTCTTTGTAAACATGCATTTCATACTACTACTATTATTATTATTTTTATGCATTAACACCTATGATTTGATTCCCTCACCGGATATAACTTCTTAAAAAAACACCCGATATTCCCTGTAAGTACTAACCGTGCCCAACCTAGGTGATCAGAAAACAATCGACGTTTTCAACGTGAAATGATCGACAACAAAAACCCACAGACCAATCAAAGGTTATTTGGTCAAACCAATCCAATTACACTTTTGTAAATCTCATCACCAATAAACATGTCACTTTAAAAAAAGGAATAATACAAAAATAAAATTTTAAGATGAATAAGATACTTGCCTCTGACAACCTTCAATTTCACGATCATAACGATAGCGTAACTCATCTAAAACACGACTAGGTGTACAATAATCACTGAGTACTGTTGTGCATAAATGATTATAAAGTAAAGCAATACTGCCAATTTTCCACATTATTTGTAAATAATGATTTTCAATCCATCCATACGATATAAGATTTGAACAAATTTCAGGACAACTCAAAAATGCGCTAAAAGTTAAAGACAACTTATTATTAGAAAGTTATTATTTAGAAAAAAAAGTAGATGCTTGAATATCTCTGCATATTACGAATCCATCACCCAACGATAACTGATCATGTTCTAAATTCGTTAACTCCAGTTGTTGGATTTCACTACTCAGTGCACTCCTCTTCATGAGAACAAGTTTACTGATAAATAGTTAGTATAGGGTGGTTAACAGGAAGCAGTCGGTTATTTTAAGCAGAAATAGCTATACATTTGACATGTGGTATGATTATTAAAAGTTTAGGAATTGCACATTTTCATGATAAGTAACGATCACAGAAGTTTATCAGGGTTCACCCGCCTAAATATTCTGGAACTAGAACATTTTTAATTTTTAGAATAAAATCTCTGTACTAACCAAATGGATATTTAACGCTGAATGAACCTTTCCTTCAACGAACCGTATTCATGTTATTTTGGTTAATGGTGACTAGCAGTGGAACCCAGGATGAGCATTTCGTCCTGATTGAGACTCATCAACTGGATGTTCCTGAATCCCCAGTAAATGGTGGTGTTCTCATTGAGGGTAGAAACTTGCACTAAAGCACTGTCCACCAGGCAATTGGGCTACGAGAACCGTCTCTTGTGTAACGTCATGTTAATCCTCACATAACATCAAAGCATTAGTACTAGGAACCGACATGTCAACGAATACTGAGCATTTCAGTCTAACCGGGAAATGCAAATTAACCAAAGAATTGAGTTTATGTTTTTAAAACAGTGAATTTTAGATATCTCCCTTCAAACAAATACAAACAGAACTGCTAGTTCAGTTAGATTCAATCTTTGAACAGCAGTAGCATGAGACTTACTTTAAAATTTCTTGTTTACCGACACGTCCTAATTTATCAGGAATTAGGGTAAAATTATTATATTTATAATCCACAGGAATAGTATCTATGGATCCTGCATCTACAGCATACTTCATATCCCAAAGCCAGTAGAGTTTGTCTGCTGTCTGTAGAGACCATTTAGTTGCATCTTCTGAGCACCTTATATATTTTGGTAAACGAATCCCAGAAGTACATGGCTTTTGGTTACTAAGGAGAGAATTCCACTTTAAGAATGATTGCCTGTTTGAAGTACTCAAAGAACTATTATTATTATTATTATTATTATTATTATTATTATTATTATTATCGTTGTGTTGTCTACGTATACCCCATAGAAGTCCACATGGTCGCAATTTAGGCAAGGCAGGTCCGGAAACACAGGCATTTTCATTGGATGCAATGACTGACTGTTTATTTGCTATAAGATTCTGCTGGTCAGTTCGTGCATTTTGGCGATCCACTTCTAATCTACATTCATGTAACAAAATTTTAAAAAATCAAAAATAAGATTATCTGGAATTAATTGGAAACGCTAAAATACTTGTGAATGTTTTAAGATATGCACAGAAAGACAAAGTCATGTGTTTCAACGAAGTAACTAGTCTATTCTAACTAAAAGTACCATCCTTGAATGAGAACACACTTGACAGCACTATATACTTTTAATAATTAAAAAAAAAACTTAATTCTATGAATTTAAATGAGTTCACCTACTTTGACCACGGACGTTTGCGATCTGTCACCCATGTTAAGTGTGATAACATGATAAGTAATATCGACGTTAGGCGTATACTGTTAGCTAAGGAAGGCAAGTTAATCGACCAGATCATGAAGCTACACCGATTGAGATGAACACGAGCCATGCTGTGCATGACGAACCCCCGCCCCCCCCTAGATGAGCAATGTTAGCTGACATAAGGTTAGGCTTAAAAAAGCTTAGGGGTGGTCAAATCAAAGCATACCATCAATCCATGATGCATTTTTACTGCTGGTTCTAGCCAGCCATGTAGGGAAGTGTAAAGTGACTGGTTGGGGTCGTCAGACTGTTAGTGATAGGGATCAACAACAGTGGTTTGTGCAGAATAATATACTACCATCATTTATTTCGTTGGCTTCTCATCAGCTACCGCTTACAGCCTAAATAAATTATGAGGTTTACGTACAGAAAAGTATTAACATACTTGCAAATTTTACATGTTGTCAGTTGACAAAAAGTTCCACAATAAGTGAACAGTGCTCGGAAAATTGCGCTTATATAGTCTTTACACAGGTAGTTCAAGTTTAAACAAAATAAATGTATGCAAATGTAAATGTATGTAAAGGAGTTACGTAATAAAGACGAAATATGCGTAAGGTGCAGAGTGATTAATAAATTAGGTAACAATGTACTTAGTTCAACTCAAATCACAGAAACAAGAGACAAGCAAAATTACAGATTATAAAAGGGGGTGAGGTTGAAGACGAAGATTACGTAATCAGATGAGAGAATAAAGACATTCAAGTACTAGGGCAAGGAAAGACTACTAACTGCTTCTTTCTGAACACATAAACCTGGTTTCAAGCGTTTGATAGAAATTGCTTCGGCAAACTTGAGGAGAATGGAACTCCAATCAAAAACTAAAAGTCCTTAAATTAATCCAAAACACAAATGTTGATTCAGTCCAACTAGAGAGCGAATATGTTATCCCATATGAGACATAAGGGGCAATTAATGTAACTTTTGTCAGACTAAAATGCACGTGTTCTTTTTCGGTTGGTTAACTCGAATTCATTCATTGCAGGAATCAAAACACGTGCAATCGTTTAGGCGCTTACATGAAAAGCAATACTGGAAAGTGTTTGTGGAAGCAAATACATAGGTCGTACAGAAAGGCGATTGTCTACTCGCATGATGGAGCATTTGCCGAAGTGTTTGAAAACAGCTGGATGCAAAATGCCAAAAACCTCAATAACAAAACATCTTGTGGACTATGGATATGATATCGACGCTGTCAGGTCATTCACTATTGTCAGCAGACAAAGAAACAAGAAGATGCTTGCAATTGCAGAGACTTGTGCAATTAAAGTTTATAAACCAGGTCACTGTGTACAAAAGGGGATGGTCGTCACTCTGAATCTACCATAGTAATACGTTTTACCTATTAAATGTTATTATTAATATTAAAATCACTTTATTCTATCTCTTATTATTATTCTTGATTCATTTAAAACTGTCTTTTATAAGTAGCATTATCTTAACTCACTTCAGCATTATTATTATTATTATTATAAATATTACTATTGAAATTACTCTGTTTGCAATTCTTGATATATTGTCTAATGGTTAATTATTTATCTAAGTGATGTAATTGAAGAGTAATGCATGTTATCTCAATTTCAATCTCTCATACTCCCTTTCCCCTATCTATTTGAATATGACCGGGAAAATATTCGCACCTGTCTTTCTGCGTGATCAATTCAATGTAGTCGATTTGTTTATCACTCTTATATCCCCCAATGTAATTTCAGTAGTATATACACCTCCATCTGTGGAGTATTCAGCTGATGAGTTCTACCGAAATTTGATGAATTCATTAAATCCTGCTTTATTAACATTTGTTGCTTGTTTTAAATATTGAAAAGAGTAGCCAACTGTCAGATTAAGAAACAAAGTCAATCAAGGAGATTGTGAATGTCCATCGACTTAGCTAGTGGTTAGGATATGTTCCATAGACGTGGGCCACACTGTTCCTTGACAAATGAATCCGACCATGGTAGGTTTGGATTTGACTGACTGACTGTTTTCAACATAGAACTTCGCACAGAAGTGCAGCCGCCCAAGTTGCCACACTCTATGTAGCACACAGAGAAAGAAAAACGAAAAACAAAAAATTCAAAAGAACAATAATAAGTAGAAATGTGAGGGACAAAGAATAGTAACATGGAAGAACAACAGGCTTTTGATGAATATGGAGGATCACACAGAGTAAATGTGCCAGAGCCATTCAGAAAGAATTAGAGCCATAATTCCCAACTGTCTCCAGCAATTGGTTTTTAGAATCAAGTGACCCCATCCAGGAAGCCTACACCTTCTTACATGGCTCAAACTGCGAATGATTTCATGAATTCATCCCAAGTTTTGGTTTCACCACCACTAGCTCTTTTCCAACTTGATCTTACGTCTGCTAACATTGCTCATCAAGAAAAGCAATGGCTAGGCACGCGTAAGACGTGTCTTAGCCATCATTGATTTACTTTCCCTCCTTACCTAACACTTGACGTCTCACCTCAATATTACTCACCTTATTGTGCCACATTACATAAGAGACGGAATGCAAGCACCTATGATCAAACACAGCCAGCTTTTTCATGTCTTCTACTTTCAATGGCCATGTCTCAGTCCTAAAGGAGGAGGATAAAGTGAACTTCTGAGCATTAAACACGTTCTTTGACCGGTAGTCAGCCGAATATAACACCTGCATCAGAGATGGCGTAAGTTGGAAAATGTCATACAAACTGTTTGTGTCCACGCCGAGATTTAGTCATCAATCAATCCGTTGAGACTGATGCAACTTCTCAAATAAGCTAGGAGTCGGTGTAGTCCAGTCCTGTAGCATCATCTTACATTTGATAGGAGCAAATCGCATAACAAACATTCGAAGATTTATGCTCAAGATGTTCCGAAGACTCAGAGTTCTCATTCAGGAGGAAGATATCATCCACCTATCTTAAGTCAACAAGACTCTACCCCACTAAGATGTCAATCCCTAAGTCGCTGAAGTAAGTCAGTTAGGATCAGTTCCATTAAAAGATATCTATGACAAAAACAGACAAATGGTGCGGTTTAGATTTGAAAAGAAATAGGCCAAATAATAATCTATTGAGCCAATAACTATTATCTCAGACTTCCTTAAAAGTGAAAAAGCTACTACGCTGGGGTTATCAGGATGAATTATATACACATGCTACAAAGGCATCTACATCCTAAAAGAAAACAAGGACAAAGCTAAAAAGTGGTAAACTCAATACTTACTCCATGTCTATTTCGATTATTTGCGATCCATCCTTTGATAGTTCACATGAAATGTCGAATTGAGTGTCAAAGTAGCATCCATCTAACAAATCAATTTCATTGGTAGACAATGCCGAAGAAGGAATTCCTTTAGCAACATCATATTTATCACTATTTACACAGGAAGGCCCAGTATTCGCAGTATTACATGGATGAACAATGCTCGACTTCGAACAACTTCCTCCACTTTTCGTATCGTCAGAAATCAGGAACGAATCCACATGACACTGGGCCGAATTATCCGAGGATGCAATCGATAAAGAGACTGAATCCCCCTTACCAGTCTTGAATCCAGTGAAACAACTATCACGGATATCAGAATTCTTACCACCTCCCACAACAACTCCATCGTCAACAACATCCAACGAATCAACAAGTGATTGAGCAATCTTCCGTGATGATGCACTCGACAAGGACACTGAATCTCCCTTACCAGTCTTGAATCCAGTGAAACAACTATCACGGATATCAGAATTCTTACCACCTCCCACAACAACTCCATCGTCAACAACATCCAACGAATCAACAAGTGATTGAGCAATCTTCCGTGATGATGCACTCGACAAGGACACTGAATCTCCCTTACCAGTCTTGAATCCAGTGAAACAACTATCACGGATATCAGAATTCTTACCACCTCCCACAACAACTCCATCGTCAACAACATCCAACGAATCAACAAGTGATTGAGCAATCTTCCGTGATGATGCACTCGACAAGGACACTGAATCTCCCTTACCAGTCTTGAATCCAGTGAAACAACTATCACGGATATCAGAATTCTTACCACCTCCCACAACAACTCCATCGTCAACAACATCCAACGAATCAACAAGTGATTGAGCAATCTTCCGTGATGATGCACTCGACAAGGACACTGAATCTCCCTTACCAGTCTTGAATCCAGTGAAACAACTATCACGGATATCAGAATTCTTACCACCTCCCACAACAACTCCATCGTCAACAACATCCAACGAATCAACAAGTGATTGAGCAATCTTCCGTGATGATGCACTCGACAAGGACACTGAATCTCCCTTACCAGTCTTGAAGCCGGTAAAATATGGATTTTTATCCGATGTACGGTCGGAGTTAACGAATGTAGTACCATATTCGACTCCTTGAATTGTTGATGTAGATTGTTGGGAAATTTCAATGCCGATCATTTGTTTGTTTGTGGAAACGTCGGTAGGATTGTCTTCCAAATTTGTTGAAACATTCTTGCAAAGAGGATCTGCCACTAGTTTATTTAAATAAGACGAATCACCTGAGTTACTTAGCAATGATTCGCATTTATTCAAGTCATTCTTAATGGGTGATTGGGATGAGCTTTCTCCGGGGACCTTAAAACTAACTGGGGTTTTGAATTCACTTCGAATGTTCGTCAAGTCGGAGAGAAGTGAAGTCTTTTCAGCAACCATCAATGGCTGTGACAAATCTGAAATCGTTTGGTCAGCAATCAGAAGTGACGTAGAACTTTTGTGATTATTCATTTCAGATACATTCATGATTTGGGTCAGATCCAAACTGGTGAAGCTATCATCGAAGTCTGGACTACGGGCATCCTTAGCTTGATTTGATGACTTGGGAACTGACATATGTGGAGCACCAAGCTGTTCAGTCTTAATCTCATCTTCTGAAGGGTAAACAAACTTGATCGTTTTTGGGTACTTCGAGAGTTTTAGCGCTATCTCTGGCGTCCCAATAATTTCACGGCTGGTACAAAAACTCTGAAAAATAAACATTACCGAAAAAAGGACTTACATTTGATGTTGCAGTCGCCAAATCTGTGATATTACACTTGTCGTTTTCACTAGTGAAGAGAGGTCTGGCTAAGTTGGTACCTTGAAAGCATAACGTGAAAATCTATAATGTATTACTTGTAGCTTCGAATTCATCTATCAGACTTTCAATGTCAATACTACCGGCACTTTGACAAGCATCTGATACAGACTTAGTCAGAGAAGACAAAAAATTATCCATTGGATTGATAGATATTGACGCCAATTTAGTCACCGAACAGGCGCCTACAAGAAAATGAGCACAAAATGAATATAAACATTTAGTTGACTAATTGATAAACATGAAATCTTATAAGAATAAGAGAACCTGCTGACGTGATTAACCAGAAAATTCAGCAGCTCAGAACATCTTAAATTGTTGTTAGCAAGGGATTTTTATCTGTTATTATCTATTATTCCATTGGGTTTCTAGTGGTACGTAGGGCTCCAGAGAATTTCGATATAAGAAGTATCAACAAGACGTTATGATTCAATTAGTTGTGATTCAAACACCAGATTAAAAAAACATTTAGTTTTGATTCTTAGTAAACAGTTTCACACCTGTTCTAATCTGCGTATGTATCCAAAAGCTTACAAAAATAGTGAGAGCAAAACATTTCGCGAATCCATTACCAACATATTTAAGTTTTATACTGCACCACGTTGTATTTTGTCCATACAACACATGCCAGAGCATATCGGATTTTTGATAAAGTAAAAACCCTTGAACTACATATTTCTCTTTTCTCAAAATTCGGTTTAAAATGATAGTTAACATCCCATTATGAGTAAACTTTTGTTTTGATAAAGTCTTACAGTGTTATACAGTAATGTTCACTGATGATGTTTCGGGCACAATTTATTGCTCATAATCATATCAAGGTACTCACACGACTTCCTAACTTGATTTGAATAGTTCCATTATTTTTCAGTTGATTTTCACTTAATTTGATTGGCAGTAGTATTTTCCATATTTCAGGTATGAGTGATGAATCATTCCTATTGCAGTAAACATTACTGTATAACACTGTGAGACTTTATCAAAACAAAAATTTACTCATAATGGAATTATACCCTACCAAAGTGCACAAGTTTTATTCTTATATCATCGATAGTTAACATCCTTTAATTTAACAACTAAAGTAACCACGCGATACCATTAACCTGACCACAGTACTAACGATGCCAGTAGTAATTGAAAGGAAATTACGAAAATCACACTGAACAGTACACCACGTCATTTACATCTTTAGTTTTAATATTGCTGCACAACTAAAATACAATAACATTATTTATGTTGGCTGATTAAGTGGAACTATCCAGTATTACTAGCACGTTTGGTGCGATTATCAGTTTGTTACTATGGAAAAACTGAATTCCATTCTACCCTCTGTCTGGCAGAAACCTAAATCATGCTTTTTTGTCATTTCTGTAAGTTCCGTGGGGAAAAATAGGGCTTCAATTGTGAGTTTAGAAGTTCCATTAGCAATGGTGTCTTCCTACAGGGTGGGATTTCTGGCATCATAAACAACTTTTCCTCCGCAAATCACATGGAAACTTATTCCATATGAGCTCTTTGGTGAAAGACCTTGAAAGGTGACGAAACGAATGTGAGCTAACCGGAATACACTCTAACTAGTGTTTGACCTTTAACAACACTTTACTCCAACTTATATTATGCTCCATTTCTCTACGAGAGATTTCTAGCCTCGACACTTGTAATAAACGAAAAAACATTATTGATAGAGTTAGGAAAGATAAGATTTTGCTTTTAAATGTGGGGAAATATTCTGTCAAATAATTAGGACATAAGTTACGTTGCTATGTTGCTTAATTAAATACATATATCTTTTCGTTCATTGACTCATCTCACATATATGTTCATAATTAATAATAAAACCAAGAACCCAAGTAGGAAAATTGGGGATATAATGAGGACAGTGATGTATATCTTCGAAGCAAATGTTGCAGTATATAAATTCGAATGTGGGAGGTAGGGTTTTGAAAGTACGGCGCATATATAGTAGGAGAAACTATCATAAGTACAACTTCCAACAAAAAAATCCGACATAACCTCATCTTAAGTTAAATTTTTCACCACGTATTCCACAGAAGGTAATAGATACTCAGAAAAGTTGAGAATGCCCACGAGAAATCAAAAGTTGCGCAATGACCCCAAGGCTGGCAAGCTGAGACCTTGTCTCCGACCTTTTGATATCTTTCAAACGCATTCAAACAACGGAAAGAAAAGTTAGTAATTGGTCTTTATTCAGAAGCTACTAGTCAAAAGTTTCCATGCCCCCTATTTTAAAATAGGAAATAACTGAAGATGAAATTTCCCCTAGCACTAGTCTGGTGAGAAAGTGGATTTGTTGCAGTTACATTGCTGACCCCATGCATAATAGAACTTCGGTTTCAGAATGATTTGTTGATCATTTAAACTTGATTATCCATGTATTCGTGTCAATGATAGCATCACATAACTCTGTGAAAAAGTTCAATGAAATAAGCTGAAGTCAGGTAAATAAGGCAGAAACTATATATACCTAAGTATAAGCGAACGAAACAGCATTATCTACGAACTTTATTCGATGTTGCATGACAAACAGATGCAATTCAGATATTTTAAAAAATCTGAAAAATACGTCTACACGTGGATGTTGCAGAAACAACAAGTTTGGTGGGATGTTCAGTCAATTTTCTATTATCTAACAGTTCTTATCTATCGTTCGGAACCCATACAATGCAGCATATACCTTTCCCAAGTTCATCAGAAGTTTTTGAATATGTTGAGATTGAAACTAAAAGTTACATTAAATGTTAAAAAGATCAGGTATTAGCAGGATAACGTGAACATTCGTCATGAAGTAGAGGAGGAAGTGTATAAAAGGTGAGTGTATGCAGTGTGCTGTCAAACAATAAAACTATGCTCCATACCCTATCCGTCATCAATATATGTGTTATATCTTTATGGTGTTTGCATTAAGGATAGCCACTGATCGAGGTTTATAATGCACTTAATCGACCCATTAAACCAGCACCACTTTTAAAATAGTCCTCTACTTCTCGGTTTTAACATGTCTCTGGTTGTGACACTTTAGCCCTTTGATATGCATGTTACTCCTATCTATGTAGGATACATCAGTTTTATAGGCATGGATAAGGTTTTTTAAATTATAAATATTCCATTTACGGTGCAACTACATGGTTGCTGTCCTTTTTGGTTTGTGCGTACAACCTGCTTACTAGTCATTCAATGGAGCACATTAAGAAATATAGAAATACTGTCTTCGCATTAAATTAAACCAAGTATGCGTTCGATGAATAATTAATAATTCGGAAAAATATAAAGCTTGGAGTCATTTCCCCCACATAAGTTTGCTGTGTACGGCATCGAAACTTACTCTTGATTTGTAGCCAAATCGGGTATCAATTTAAAACAAGTGATATATCCGTATGATTTTGTCAGCATCTTCATCGTAACTAACGACACAAGTTGACAGTACTACATACAGATTATTGTTGGTCATTGCAAGGCTGCTTTCTTTTACTGCGCTGAGGTCAGTGCCAGCAAATTCTCATAAAATGTCAATGTCCAGCTCTTACTACGTTGGACCTCACGCTGTCCCTCTAAGACTTTCAGGAACCCTTGTATTAACCAACGCGAAAACCAGAACACAGATTGGCGACTCAAGAATCCTTTATTCTTACGACAATATGTAACCAACAATAAGGTTTTTACACACTAGGTCTAAGAATAAACAATAAATCATAATAATATCTTCCACTGAACAGCGAACGATGAAACGATGACAGACGGGTGGATGACTCCAAAAATTATGGGGAAGCTGGGTTTGAGCAAACAACCATGAATTGATCGTTCAATCTTCAACTACATTGACACTCCCCGTCAAAAAAGGGACCCAACCCCTTTTTTCCATCACGACCAATACACGTTGACTTGGATGCCAGTGCGTGAACCTGGTCCACATGGACAAAGTTGAAATGGAAAACAAACAGAAAAGCCAACACACCACAAGCATACCCACAGCACAATCTCACTCCTCGACGACGACCTATGCCTTCCAGTTAAAGGCATCCTCTTGACATCTTGCAACACACTCGCCACTTGCTAGAATGAATCTTGCAGAATGCAACGTGACCATAGCAGCACCTCGTGATACTCTTCGTACATCCTCTTATCTATTCACTACCGATTACCACTGCGATCGCTTGTCACTCATTCTCCCTCAGTTCTAGTAACGGTGACGTATGCAAGCCTCAGTCGTCTACACTCTCGCTCCCCGGCGTGTAAGACCACAGCCTAAATAGAAACACTCCTTCTAAATCATTGATTCGACAGCTAATCCTTATCTCTGTGTGCACGTCATTCTCAGCAATAGCCTCCCCGGCGTATATGACCCATCCTCTGTCTTTAACATCAATCAATTCATTCGCGGATGTAGAAGACTCGAAACAACTCCAGAAGTAAGCACGACGAAAATTTTAACAAAATTACGCATAACAACGAGGTACGAAAACAACCAGTTAATACAGTGAATCCAAAGACGCCAATTGATATGACACATCACACATATATACAAACAGTGCACATAATTTCGCAGATCATGTCTTGATGTAATTCCTTTGAAGAATCTCAGGACTTACAGCAGTACGCCTACAACCCTTCTCAGGTTTACGCCCTAGGTTGGAAAATCGTCGTAGAGTTCATTTGCTGACCTCCTTCTACTTTCTATATCCTCAACTCTGAACAGTGACACGCCCATGTTATTGTATCGAAGAGTGTGGATGACTAACAAACATCGGCATATCTGACCAACCAAGCGTAGGCACAGAGTAATTTACACCAAAGATAATAACATTCGAATAATAATTTGAAACTTGAGAGGCCTTCATTCGTGCAAGTCAGTTTAACAATTACTCTCTCGTTCACACTTGGCTCATCCCCATTAAACTGACCAATACCTTTCGTCTTTTCAAATGGGCCGATACTAGAGTAGTCATGGCACAAGACACATGACTTCGTGGACGTCACCGTCAATGTGGACGACAACACCAACAACGAATAATTGATGCCAACTGATGAACTTGGCAATGCATCGGAAGCTGTTGTTGTTCGGCAAAATTACCACCACTGTTGTCTTTTGCTATTAGCTCCAGTATAGCATTAACATCTGTTGA